TCATATTTATAATTCCAAACACTCAGTAAGCGACAGGTGCTAGGAAACGTTGTTTTGTACTCATTTATTGAGGAGTCGGCTGCGGTGCTTCTCTGCCGCTCGCTGCACAGAACACACGCCGAGAGAGGTGACACTTCTCCGGGAAAGTCAGACCTCGCGCTCGCGGGACAGCACTGGAGAAATCCTCCATCTGAACCATAGCTAAGCTTTATCCAGAAAAGTCGCTAGATTTGTCAGTATGAATATTCTATGGAAAAAAGCCACTAAAAGGGTCTGAAAGTAGCTAAATCTAGTGCTAAAGTCGCGCTCGTGTGTGAGACGTGGGAGCTGATGGCAGCGGGCGCTGGATATTTGTGGAGGTCAGTGTGGATATTGTGGATGAGTTCTTCTGTGTCATCACGTTCTATTAGTTCTACAGCTTCAGTTTCTGAGCTTTCACGCTTAGTAACACATACAGCTGTTCCCTCACCACAGTGCAGCAGTGAAAAGAGACCCCTCTCAAACAGTGTCACGTTCCCAACGTTGTTTAAGCGACATACACCTGTATTGCGGTATTTAAAAAATTCATATCATAACAAAAATAAACACCGGTATTCGTTATGAACCAGTATACCGCCCAGCACTACTCAGAACTGAAGTTCACTCTTTGTTTCCAGAGCAGACCCTCTGTTCAGGGTGACGACAGTGCCTATCATTACCTGAACCAATCTCTGATGTCCTCACCCAGGATCAGCACCTCATTCCACTCCAAACAAATCGTATATCCGTCCCCTGCAAACCATTTCCCATCCGCCTCAGAGCTGACGTACCGAAGCCCAAACCCTCACTGGCATCCCGCGGGTCCGTCCTGTGCCACGTCCGCCAGTCAGAGAGGATACAGAAGCTTTCAGGATCCCACACAGAAGACCTACAGCGGAGACGTTCTGCTGAAACACGCTCATCGCTTCACTCAGGAGAAACCCTTCACCCCGAGAACGCTCAAATCAGACCACAAGTCCACGCTGTTACAATACCGCTATTACACACCTCCACGGAGGAAAGCTGAGGAGGAGAAATCCTCCTTTAAAATCACCCGACAGGAGACGTACCACGGGAGGTATATCCAGTGATACTGAAAGAGCTATTATATTATGTTTCAAATGGTATTGTGGAGACCTGATAGTATAACGGGGCGTTTTTCTGTTATCTGCAGCACACGGTCCAAACGAGGCTTTTCTCCACAGCTCGAGTCACCCCAGGCAAGTCCTTTGACCTTTGAGGGACATTCTGCTAAATATCATCTATCTATCTATCTATCTATCTATCTATCTATCTATCTATCTATCTATCATCTGACTCCTCTATTATCTATCTATCTATCTATCTATCTATCTATCTATCTATCTATCTATGCATTTATGTACGCATTTATGGCCGGATTTATGCAATATATTTATGCATTTACCTATTTATTTATCTATTGATTTGTTTATTTATGGACTGATTTTTATTGATTGATTAATTGATTGATTGATTAGTTCATTCATTTTTTATTAATTGATTTATGGATTATTTATTTATGGTTTGATTTATGATTTATTTATTTATTTACTTATTTATACATTGATTTTTTTATTTATGCACTGATTGATGCATTACTTATTTATGCAGTTATTTTTCCTTTGGTTTATGCATTATTTATTTATGCATTAATTTATGCATCATTTATTTATGCATTTGTTTGTTTATTTTTTTAATGCATGTGTTAAAAGTGGATTAATTGGTTGGTTGCTGGTGGTTGAAGTTGGTTGATGAATGTCCATATTGAGCAGAGCTGGAATCTAGACAAAAGAGAAGCTCAAATATCAATACACTGACATCTTGTTTTAATCTTTTTGCAGCCATTTACTCTCGATCACGAGTGGACGGATGAAGAAACAGATTCATTTAGACATCACGGCAAGACAAGCAGGTTTAGGGACGGTGATTTTCTTCTCTCGTCTTCCAGGTAAATGATGTCTGCCAGATTTCTATACATCACACTGATGTCTTACGATTTTATAATAGTTGTAGAAAGCATGCAGATCCTATAAAATCGTCCTATAAAATGATTTTTATAGTGGCATATATAAAAGCAAAGGCTCTTTTCTTTTGTTTCAGGATTTCACCAGAAGGCATGAGGTCTCCCATAATGAGAAAGGTTTCAGCAGAGTGAGTGTCCTGCACCAAACCCCTGAAATATATCAAGCATTACACTAATGTGAGATTTAAACCACTGATACTCACTTCAAATTCTTGATATACTTTTAGAAATAAAGATGTACTTGACATGATATATGAATATAATCATGCATACAGTCATTTGTATATTCAGTTTATTCATCTTCATTCATGTGTCATTCTCTGGACCTTCTGAACTTGTTCTTTTCACCAGGGAGGAAGAATTAATGTACCTGGAGTTCATTACAGACGTGACGAATGAGATCTTAACGCAAGGCCTTTACTCTGACAGGTGTGTGAGAACTTTTATTTCGTAGGAAGAGAAATTGCAAGACACTTTTTGTTCGTTTGACTTATCTAATGAAGTATCGGTCTGTTCAGGGTACTGAAGAGAGTGTTTGAACGTCACATTGATATGAACAGACATCGATTAGATGAGGTGAGCATTTTGGATTTTACATTTCATTAATCTGATGCTTTTATACAAAGTGATGTAGTTGAGGAAAAACACAAACAATTCTTCATTATCTAATTTTATTATCGCAATAACATGGGATATTTGTGCTCACACTCAATATTAGATTTGTTAAGATGTGTAATGTATTTTTCATGGACTGGATTTAGCAGTCGTTTTTAAAATACCGTATTTTATTTATTTATTTTTTGTTTTGAAGGAAATATTTTTTTTTATTGAGCAAGCGTGCATTAAATTGATCAAAAGTGGCAGTAAAGGCATTTATAATGTTACAAAAGATTTCTATTTGAAATAAATGCCGTTCTTTTGAACTTTCTATTCATCTGTGAATCCTGAAAATTAAAATGTATCACCGTTTCCACAAAAGTATTGTGCAGCACAATTGTTTTCAACATTGATAATAATCAGAAATGTTTCTCGAGCAGCAAATCAGCATATTAGAATGATTTCTGAAGATCATGTGGCACTGAAGACTGGAGTAATGATGCTGAAAATACAACTTTGATCACAGCAATCAATTACATTTGAACAGATATTCACATAGAAAACAGTGATTTGAAATTGTAATAAAATGTCACAATTTTTACTCTATTAATAAATGAATACTTTTGCATTTCATTACATAACATTTCATTATATGGCACTCAGTTCCAAGCATCTTTTTGATCATGTGACTTATCACTCCGTATTCAAACTCCTCGGCATCACTTCATTTCTCGTTCACTCACAGACGTCCATCTCTCTAATATTCCCAACAGAACAAAATGAGGCACCTTCTAGACAATCTGCAGGAGGACCTGCAAAGTCCCCCTGCTGCCGCCGTCACGTCGTACAGTCCTGTCATCTATCAGACGCTGCCATCAGATGATGGTGATGATCTGCTTCATAAAGTGTTTAACGCGGACCGAGGCCAGAGCGAGGACGTCACTCCCGCTGTAGCGTCCACACCTGTGAACCACGGTCGAGCCGGTCTGGAGGACAGTAATGAAGCCAGCGAGATCTCCCTGAATGATGGATCACCTCTCAATCCCAGGAACACTGCAGACGATAAGGAGGTGTCAGAACCGGTTGATGAACTTGGGAAAATCATGGCGGAGTCTTTAAGTGTGTCGGAACCTCGACAGCAAGTGCAGACGAGAGGAGACATCAGCGATGATGAGTTTTAACTCATAAAAGCACACTGATTTTTGCTTTGTCACTCTGTAATTGTTTGCAGCTTCTGTAGAATTTCAGATTTCTGCTTTGTTTACTTTTTTAATGTTATTTTACTTATTATTACAGAAACGCCACGTGTGTTCCACGAAGTGATACTTCTACAGTATTTTAGCATGTTATGTGCAGTATTCATTACTTTCCTGAATTTTTCAGCTCTCAATTTGTGCATTTATTGGTTATGTAGTCTGGCTAGGATTCGAAAGACATGCTGTGTGGTATTTTTGAAATGCAAAACCGTTTTACTACTTTGAATTGGTTTACTTTTACACAACATGTACAAGTGCAGTATTCATACTCAGTGATGCACTTGATATAGTGAAACTTATTTAAACTGGAAGACATTTTGAAAGACTCATAATTCATCAAAACCTTGTGTCTGTCTCAAATGCAGTCATGCTGTTTTTTTTGTAAGATTAAATATTGCAGTATTCAGGTAGATTGGTTTAGTGATCAGAAGAAAGCTGTCTGTAAAGGTAACCACGAGTGGCTTAAACAGTTATTTGTACTTTGAACACGTGTTTTTACACTGAAATATACAATTTAATTAACAGTTTTCTTTGAGCAGCTGTTGATTTAATTGTCCACTGAGTGTTTTGCCTTTTAACTACTGAGAAATGAAACGCTTTTAACTGTGCTATGATATGTATTTTAATATTTTCAAATTACTTGACTACTGTTTATTATTTATAATACTGGGTAAAGATAATTAAATGCTATTGCAATCACATTTGGTTTGTTTATTGTACGCCCTAATTAGTCCTTGATAATGAATCATATCAGCAAAAGTTAACGTGCAATAAACATTCAACTTAAATACTCACTTAACAGGTAACCAGGCACAAATATGACAACACTGTGTTTTATTACAGCACAATTCTTCAATTTATTAATCTTATCTCATTTTTCGATCAGAGATATAACTTTGTTGTTCTGGTCCAAAAAATAATAATAATCTAACATTAATTTCTTTGAGGTGAGTTCTCCATCAAAAGCAGCTCTTGTGATTGTTATGAAACTGAAAAAGCCGTCAAGACTTTGAGGGTGTGAGAGAAAATAGTGCCGCGGATGAATACTGAATAGGTTGCCGGTCACCTTTCCGCTGGTATTCCGAGCGGATGTGACGCAGCAGCAGGAGTGCGACCCGAGGAACCTCAAACATGCGTCAATCCCGAAAAAACAAACTCCACCAAATATCGGATCATTATCACAAACAGTAATTCCCACCTCAAAACCTGCTATAAATCAAGGATATAATAAATCAGATAACCCAGCAGGTAAGCGGCGGGGAGCTTCTGAAATCATTCTTTTCCACAGTTTTACTCAAAAGTGTTAGCAGCGCTAGCCAGCGCGCGCTCTTAAACTCGAAATAAACCCAGTCAACTTAATAAATCTCACCTATTTAGACGTTTAAATATGTTTTTGAAGACTTCGACGTCTTATTTAATGATGAAGTGTATTATAAGTCCCTTCTGGATGCGTGCGGTTTTGTGGTCACTTGTTGCTCCAGAAGTTAGTCAGACATTTGTGGTGTTTGTTTATGTTTCGTAAAAGCAGAAAAACCAACGGATTTCTTGTTTGAGGGCCTTAAGCCTAAATCCCGGTTCCTCTGTTATTGTTTTGTTTTTGTTTGTTTACGTTAGTCCTATTTGTTCGATGTCAATAATAGTCATAGTGGATAATTATTATATTGGTAATAAATATGTAATTTATTAATATCATAATTATACCAAAAATATGACTGTATATTTGCATACCGATCGATATGAAAAAAACATTTTTTTAATTAATTTTTTTATTGCAATTGAAAGAATAACAACAGTTATGAAGTAACAACGGACATCATCACATGAAGTTAGACAAGCTACACAAATTAACAAGATATACCAATGATAAAGAAGAAAAAAGAATCAAGACTCAAGAATGTGAAAAGTTTTAGAAGCCTTTGAGTTCAAAGGATCTGACACATTCTTAAAAGAAGTAAAAAGGGACTTTATATCAGATGAAAACAGTCTAAAGTTAGGTTTGCAATGAATGGTTCTGGCTTTATGAAGGTGACATTTACCCCGAAGACAAAGCAATAAAACAATATGTTCCAGATTGATTTCCTTGGAATGAAAATCTGACAAAAAAATGATAGATTCTGTTATTTCTATCATTTTGTTACAGCAGGAAAAAATTCACATGGTAACTTCTGACCAAAAAGACTCGGTGAATGGGCAATGATCAAACAGATGTAGAATGTATTCTTCCTCAGTATTACAAAATGAACACATTGAGGATATATTCTCAGAGAATCTGCTCAAAAATACATTACAAGGGTAGTACCTATGAGCAATTTTGAAATGGAGTTTTTTAATTTTACTTGGGATAAATAGCCTGTGAGGAAAGGTCCATAAGTTTTTTAATATGTATAAAACATGCTGCTAGTAATTTAGTTTGTTCTCATTATGCTGTTGTGATTGATTCATAACGGTGTGAATGGTTATCGATCTGTATTTTGAGTTTTCCACTGTCTGACAGCTTGTGCATGTGTTGTCTGTGCGAGTTTGGTTCATGGCATGCTTCTAAAACAGATTTTAGTAAACGCATTATATCTATAGTAGTTCTCAACTGGTTTTTGCTTCAAGAAATAGTTTTGGAATTGGATATTGAGTGATGGCTTAAGTTGTTTATCACGCAAAAGTAGCAAAAATGTGGCTAAAATCACACATTTATTAAAGGGGTCATATGATGCGATTTCAAGTTTTCCTTTCTCTTTGGAGTGTTACAAGCTAAGGGTGTAACGATATATCGCAGTACGATATTTCGCGATGCAAAAATGTTACGGTATGTATCGTAGACTGGTGGCGATACTTTTACGATATGATGGCAGTCTAATCCTATTGGTTGAGCTGCCGACGTGACCTACTCTGCAACAGCATCGCGTGTGCTTTCCTCGCAGTTGCAGAAATCGCTTAAACTGAACATTAGTCGGGCAACATGAGTTTGGCTGAAATTGAAGATGCCCCGTCTTCTTATAAGTCCGACGTCTGGCAGCATTTTGGTTTTCCAGTCACGCGACAGGACGACGGTAATAAAATTACAGACAAAACACAAACTGTTTGTAAACACTGTAAAACAAGGTTGCCATACACAACGTCCAACACTTCGAATATGATGTGCCATTTAAAACGGCATCACAACAGCAAACTCCTGCCACAAAAAGGGTGAAAGAAGGCCAAACATCTATACAACGCAGTTTTGCTGCAACGTGGTCTCTGCTATTGACTGTTCAAATGCGGAGTTTTGCGCATGGTGAGAGAGAGAGAGAGAGAGAGAGAGGGAGAGGGGGAGAGGGGGAGAGGGGCGGGGCATAGAGGACCTACAATAATGTACAGTATTTGAAAAATAATGTGTTTTTTGAACATTAAAGCATGTCAACATATTCTGTTACACCAAATACACAAAAAATTATCTTTAAAAAAGCATCATATCACCCCTTTAATATTAAATAAGCTATCCAATTTTGTACTCATTTAAATAGGTATACTGTGCCAATGTAAAGTATTATTTTAAATATATTTACTTTTTAATTTACATAAAGTGTTTGTTTACTCCGTATATTATTGTACTACTGTTTTTATGAGTATTTATTTATTTTAATATTAATTGTTATTATTTTAAAACAATTTTATTTATTTAAATATGTATGCATTATTTAAATGTTATTTATTTTAATATATATATATATATATATATATATATATATATTCTATTTTACATTTGTAAAATGTTTTTGTTTCAGTTTGAAAACCCCCTTGTGTGCTTTAGATCACACAATTAATAAGTTTATGTAAATGTAATTTATCGAATATTCTGTGTATTTTTTTATGGAACAAACACTTCAGTTACTATTGCATTAGTCATACTAAGTGACAGAAATATTTGACAATTTGTGTCAATCTCAAAAAATATGGAAAGTGTTTTTTCCTCCTTTGTAAAATTTGATAACCATCTTTATTTTGCTGTCCAAATTATGCATGACTGCATGGTTAATTTGCATAGTTTTTTCTGCTTGTTATCTGTGACCCACCAATTGTGATTTTATCAGAAAGAGTAGATAAATACTGATATGACTCTGAGCTCAGACTCGATGAATGTCATCGTTGCTAATCTGTTTTGCTGTGGTTTGTCTTTATCCAGGGACTCATGTGTTTGTCTTGGGGAGCCCTGTATAATCCAGCACCCCTCCATGGATTAAGCGCAGAGAAAAGCTGAATCCAATCATTCTGCTCGAGGAGGGTCGCGGCACCGGTGCAACATGCCCCTTCCGTTCGGATTAAAGCTCAAGAGAACCAGAAGATACACGGTGTCCAGCAAAAGCTGCCTGGTGACCCGCATACAGCTGCTCAACGCTGAATATGTGGAGTTCACGCTTTCGGTGGAAAGCACGGGACAGGAATGTCTGGAGGCAGTCGCGCAGAGACTCGAGTTACGGGAGGTAGGATTGCCGTCATTTTTGGTTTAATCTGGTCGAAATCACAATGCAGTTTGGGCGTGTGTTTATTTTAGCTCGCTGGTGCCGTCTGGAGTTATGACTTATTCTAGGACTGCTACCAATATGCTGTCAAACACCCTAAATGCATGTGTGCCAAGAATTCGGCCTGGACTCTGTGTGCTTCATTTGCATGAAGTCAGCTGCTCTTGAGAAGTCTGAGTCAGATTATCGTGTTAGTATGCCATCCATATCTAGTTATAGATCGCCGTGTCTTTTCAGACATGTTGTGTGAGTCTTATTTTCTTGACCAGCCAACTGTGGCTTTTGGTAAAGTGTGTTTAGTAGCCTAAAGGTGACTAGTACAGTGATTTAATCAGCTGTATTAATTGTGCATGCTTACAAAATCCTGATGTTGTTGTTGTTCAAGCAGAATTACAGTATTGGTAATTAAAAAAAGTTTTATAGTAGGGATGTAACGATATCAAAATCTTGCGATACGATGTTATTGTGATATGATGTCCACGGTACAATATTTATTGCGGTATTTAAAAAGAAAAAAAGACAAATTAAGAATAGGGAAAAAATTAAAATTTTGTACATTTTAAAGTTAAATTATTCTGTCTAATGCACTTTGAGAGTGAAAATTAAGAGCTCCAACCCGTGTTCTTAACTAAGAAAACTTAAGTCAGAAAAAAGTCAGTGAATTGACTTGTACCTGAACTTTAAAGGGGACTCAACCCTCTTTTTATTTGTGATATATTGTCTCAGTCTAAATTACATTCACACTGGTGTTTTAGGAAGCCAAACAAATTAAAATATAATAATATTATTAATAACAACAACAATAGTAGCCATATATTGTTAAATAATTCACAGTAAAATAAATGAAAATTAATGTTTCATAGGTATATTATTTTTGCTTTACACTTACAGTAGGGAAATTACAATACTTATTTCCTAATTTCTACACTTGAAAGAGATATTTTGAATTTGGACTGCATTTAAACCGCTAGCTGTCAGCAAATCATGCTGCACTGTTAAGCTTATATTTTGATGGAAACGATAGTAGAGCTTTTATTTTGAAGGAAAACTTCAGCTTCAGTGAAAACAAAAAGTTTTACAAAAACGTGAAATACGCCCGGAATACCTATCGTTTCATATCGTCATGTGACCACGATAATATCGACACAGTTTTGATATCGCGATATTGATAATACCGTTACATCCCTATTTTATAGTCGAAAAAGTCGGTAAATATTATCTCCAGTTCAGCATCAGGATTATAGGTTAAATTTATATTAACGCACACGTTAAAGATGCTGGAAGTAATCACCATTTCGTTTCAGTTTTTTGCCCATTTAATGACCATTTAGCTATTTTTGCAGATTCCGTTATAGTCCAGTGCTTTGATATGAGTTTTTAGAAGTACAAATATTTCATGCATGTAGTCAGTGACTTAATATGAGTCATACACTGATTATATAGTCAATGTATAAAAAGGGAATTTGAAAAATGTTGATTAAAGAAGTTTTAGATGATGCTGACAAGTATTATATCTAGTTTAGCATCAAGATTATTGGTTAAATTTATATGTATAATATACAGGGTATATTTATGTGATGTAACTGGTCATCACTAGTTTTAAGTTTTCACCCATTTTAATCATCATTTAGTCTTGCATTTTGGTATGGATTTTTAATGTACAAATATTTAATGCATGTAGTGTGTGACTTGAGTCATAAAAACAGCTTATATAGTAGTTGTATAAAGGAATTCGAAAAATGTTGATTAAAATAGTTTTATATTAAGAATAGCATGTTGAAATGTGAAGTTTTGGGATTTTGCAATTTTTTACTTAGTAGTTGCAAAATTAATTGGAAAAACATTTGTAACCTATAAAGTTGACATTATGTCCATTTTAGCATCAAGAATGTAGGTTAAATATATATGAATGCGTAAGGTGAAGTACAAATATTTCATGTATGTAGTTTGACTCGAGTCATAAAAACAGCATGTATAATAATTATATGAAAATGTTTTTTTTTTTAAATAGTTTTAGATAAGTGTGTCACACTGTTTGTAGTGTGTGCTAGTAAAGGTAACTAGTAGAGTGATTTAGTCAGCAGTTACTTTTGTGAAATCATAAAGAGGTTTTCACATGGTTGGTTATTTTTTGTAGATCAGTTATAGTCCTGCTCTTTAATATATTTTTTTTAAAAGTACAAATATTCTATGCATGCAGTTTAGAGCATAAATCATACAAACTGTTTGTATAATAATTATTTCATGTAATTTGGAAAAAAATGTTTAAATGGTTTTGAAAAACTTTTATTCTATAAACTTGATGCATATCAAGTCGTCTTTTTTTTTTTAGCATCTATTTTAGTATATGAATGTATAAAGTGATGCTGTAGTTGATGATTATTTTTGTTCAGTTTCTTTTACACTTGTTTTAATCACCATTTAGCTATTTTTAGAGATCAATAACCATCCTGCTGTGTGACATGACATTAAATGTCTAAATATTCCATGCATGTAGTATCTCAATTAGTCTGAGCTCATAAAAACAGCAGGTGTTATTATATAAAGAAATTAGGCTATTTTAGGATGTCACACCTCTCAATTTCTTTGGTTTTTAGCTGCAAATCTTTTGCCAAAGAGTCGTCTTAGTCAAAATGTTGAGAATATGCCCAGTCTTCACCTCCAGAAAAACTGATTTGAAGTTAAATGAATGTCCGGTCTCCAGGCCTGTTGTTTCTCACGAGTGAAAGAGCAATCAGTGAAATTCTGTTCATTCCCCAGATAACGTATTTCAGCCTCTGGTACTACAACAAACAAAACCAGCAGAGATGGATTGATTTGGAGAAGCCGCTGAAGAAACAGCTTGACAAGTATGGGCTGGAGCCAACCGTTTACTTTGGGGTGGTGTTCTACGTGTCGTCTGTTACACAGTTACAACAAGAGATAACCAGGTTAAGGATGAGAATATGTTTAAAATGATCACAGCAGTGCTATTAGAACACCTTTACTCACTTCCTGTTTTCCGCACAGATATCAGTATTATCTCCAGCTGAAGAAAGATGTTCTGGAGGGGAAGATCCCGTGCTCCATTGAGCAAGCCATTCATTTGGCCAGCTTGGCTGTGCAAGGTATTTTTTTGGATATTATGTTGGGCATTTCAGGTATATGAACATACTAAGATATTAGGACTGATTAGACCCGTCACGATAACAACTTTTTGTTGTGCGATATATTGCCCCAGAAATAATTACAATAAGCGATATTATTGTCATTTAAAAGAACTTTTATGCCACTGAATATATAATCATAATGTAACAGCATAATAATGCAAGAAGGCTTACACACTTCCAAATGACAACAAACTTTTAATTTTTAAGAATATTTAGATCATGGAAATTAAGTATCAAAATATTAGATACCTTACAGAGCCTGAATAAATAGTAAATAAACAATTTCTAACAAAAAGTGCAAAGTAACGAGTAGAAAAAAAAGAAAAATGCACAAAGAACTTGTATGGAGATTTTTCCATCTACAGATTTTTCCCTGACCTTCTTTTCTCTGTAAATTCAGGGTGCACACTATTTCTGAAAAACACAATCACTACTTGGCAGTCAGATGTCCGTATGCATAAAGGCACAGATCCCTAAACAAGACCATATCTGCAGATTAAACTTTTTTTGTAAAGCATTTTTTAAATTTGAACAAGCACCAACTACACCACTGTAGCGACTCAGCTCATGGGGAAATATGAATAATTAATCATAACTAGTTATAATTAATTATAAATATTTAGATCCGCTGTAGATATTTAGCTGACCTCTCAGGGTCAACTGTCTTTCAATTCTAAGAACGTTAATTTCCTGGTTAAGGGAAATAACTTTCTTACTGTACAATTCTACA